ACAGACAGTTTAATGTGCTTGGGAAAAAAGACACCAGCTGTGAGTTAGAAGCTCATTGCACGAGATCAGACTAGCTGTAGGCAAACTGAGGCACATTTTGCTTAACAAAGTGTCTAAAATGTAAAAGATTTTAAAAGTACGTTTGTGTAAGGCTTAATTAATATCTTAACTGACAAAATATACACGATATAGTTAAGGTGGGTAGCCGCGTCAGCATGCGTAGGCTGCAAAGGAACAAGTAATAGGTGTCACACCTGAAGAAGGCTCCACGGCCGAAATGTTGTTTTTTCTCTCTTCTTTTTCTCAGCATGGAATAAACCTATTACTTGTTCCTATACACTATACAGTATATACTAATACACAATGTAAAGTTGTATAACCTACTGTATAAGATAACTTTAGTGGCCCTCTACAATTTCTTGCATGAGGAATTCATCTTTTTGCATACCCCAGCTTGCTCTCCATAAGACATGGACACAGAGAGAAGTTAGGGGTCAGAGTGCAGGGTCAGCCATTGTATAGCACCCCTGGAGCAGCTGGGGTTAAGGGCCTTTCTCAGGGGCCAGATGGAGTAGGATTCCTCTGCCAGCTGCAGGACGTGAACTGGCAACCTTCCAGACACCACTGCACCCCAAAGTTTTAAAAGTAATCAGTCTTCTTCCTTACATTTTGTAATCACTTCATAATTTTGTGAAGGAGTACAGGCAATTTTGAAAAACATTGAAGCACAACCTGATGTTTTGGGTATTGTCTCCAAATTTGTGATCTGATTTAGTACTCTCAGGGTGTTCCTCAGAATAATACTTGTCCCTGTCATCTTATTGAGAGATTACAATTTAGAAAAGGGCTCAGCTGGGAGAGAGGTTTTGGTGTTGACTAATGCTTCCATATGTAACCACACAGGAGTATTTGTGTTCTTTACTAGATTTTCAGGGAATGCCATTTTGCCCGTATGCCAAGACCCTTGTGTTTGCTGCAGTCAGTCTTATAGTTATAGACGAATGGTGTAATTATTGAATCTCACTTCCTGACAAATAAGGAAGTAAGGAACAAAGGAAATTTCTGGAAAAGATGCAGGAAACCATCTTCATGGCAAACCCCTCCAACTACAGTGTCAACAAGTTACAAAATTCTTCAATATGCAGATTAGATTTAAAGCTGGTGATATTCTATGTAAAATATAACTGCTGCAGTACATTTGGCTATGAGCCTGTGAATTTTATTACTTAATTTACTCGTGCATAGCGTGCATAGCTGTGACGTATTTACACACTTATAATGTAATCACTTGGATAAAATGTTTTAAATTGATTACCTCGTGAAATAAAAACTTCCTAGTGAAATAGCAGTGCCACAATTATTAGAGGATACTAGTGTATATTTCTTATTATTACAAATGCGTTTACATTTTAAGCAAATATCATTGGGAATTTAACTACATTGAGAGAATAATACCAATGTTTAAAGGTATATTTATATATAACGATATATTTTAATACATATTAGTTCTACTAATGTATATACAGTACTGTCTATTGTTTGCTGTTAATTAGTAGAGAGTCAAATGTGCCGAATAACCTCATCTTGCTTGCAAACTCCTTAAAAAACTCTACTTCAACACCACAATAAGTATTTGGCTTATCCCATAAAGTAGAAATACAGCAGATTACTGAATAGCTGGATATCAAAGGCAGTGGACGCATTTTTGCTTCACGTGAACAGTGTGGACATATAATAGTATGTGCGGTTTCTACTGTAAGCTTTTCAAATATGAGAGGCCAACAAACAAAACGCACGTCCATTTAACTTTGAATCAGGAGGTGTTTCTCCGGCTACATGTGATTGGTGCCGCCCCTGCCATGGGCGGGCAGGTACGAGCAGGTACAGGGAGCTATGAACAGCGAAGTAGGAGAGTTAGTCCAGGGTATCCCCCGCCAGCAGCGCGATGCCTCGTTTCACGGTGCACGTCAGGGACGAGTGGCTGACCGTGCCCTGCAAGGACGTGTCCAACACGGTGCAGTGGCTGGGCGTCGAGGCGCTCCGACGGTACACGAAGAACAAGCCCGACAATGGGGGCATCAGCTCGGTGAAAGATGTGCGTTTCTATGTGAGGCGATGTCAGGGACACGGGCTGCTGGACGCGGACGATGTGATCGAAGACGTTTTGGAAGACAACGATTTCGTTGAAATCGGTAATTTTTAAAGAACGGGTTGTGTTGTTTTTTTTTACATATTTGCGTTATTATTTATTTAATTTTTCGTTTTTAATTGTAAAAATAATTAAACCGTTTGTGTTTGGCTTATACTTTCTAACGTTAATGATATTTAGATTGGGTTAACCGACTCACAAATTCCATTCACAGCACATATTTCCGTAAATTGTTTCTCATTTCTTTTATCTAAGTGATTAAGTTTATTCGTTTTTTCAGTGGTTGGGCCCTAAAATAAAATAAAAAAAAGTTTACGTGAAATTGCTTTACTCACATAAGCTAAATTCTTTAACATGTCTATTAAAATATATATTTACATTTCAGTTATCGAAGGAGACACAAAATCTCCGGATTTTATTCCGTCCCAGCCGGGAGAGCCTCACCTGTATCCTTTTTTTTAAAGAGGGGATAGTATTTGGTGGTGTGGGAGGTGTAAACTCTCGTGAGTTGATGTATTGGTTTTGATGCACTGGCTTCTTTAACCGCTCATCTCCAGCAATACTACATACCGAGAGCCTGATGAAGTGAGTATGTTTGAAATGATAACCATCTGTTCTCTTTGCTACTGTTACTGTAAAGGTTGTAATAACATTATTGATAGACCCGTCAGTGTCTTGTGTTGTCTTACTTTTTCATAGTACATTCTTTTGGATGGCAACAGTCTAACAACCACAGATCTGGTCAAGTTAGGAAAAGGACTCTACAGGATTAAGGTAAAGATTATTAACAAGATAATCAAAATAATTTGCTGTTTTAGTTATTTTTAATATAACATTATTTTATATAGTACCTCTTTAGGACACATCGTCTCAAGATTCTTTACACTAAAACGATGAAAAGCAATGACTCTAGAAGCACCTTAACATTAAATTTAACAGTATTTAAAAGCCGTATAAAATTAAGATTAAGATTAAGACACTGAACTACATGCACAAATTTGGATTGATAGAGCAGAAACTATGGTCTCCCAGAGTATGAAGTTTTGGAAAATGAGAGAAGTTTTTATTTTTTTAGCTTACCCCAGAAGCAGAAGACAGAGTTGGGCATTCAAGAGAACTCCTCGAAAACATTGTAAAGGAAAATAAAGGTAGTTTTGAAAAATACATGTGTTTACAATTTAAAAATCTAACACAAAGATATATGACCTAAAGCTGTCCAAAACTGGTACAATAACCTTTGTTCTCTTCTAGTTGTTTATGGAATCACAACGGGTTTTGGAAAATTTGCTCGAACAGTTATACCAAAGAGTAAGCTGAAGTAAGTTTTTCTGAAGTTTCTCTTATATTCCATGAGGTATTTTGGAGTTTTTCAGCTATCAAGTTGACATTTCTTAAAGAGTGAAAGTGTTAAAAAAGAAGGTTTAACCCATTTACTTTATAAAGGTTCAATAGTGTCATTAGTATGCGGTTGCCTCTCACCTCTTAGGCCCTGGGTTCAACTCAGGAGTGGTGTTGCTTCTTATTTGAGTTTGGATGTTCTTCTCATTCATACTGGGATTTCACCCACCTGGTGCTACTAAATAGTGTGTATCCATGCCTTCTGATAGGCTGACGTCCTGTCCAGGGTGTAGTGCTTCCGACATGAGCTCTGAATTCTCATGACCTTTACAAGGAATAAGTGACTTCCAGATAAGAGATGGAACTGGTTTTTCTATGTCCCAATTAGACCTTTTAGAAACTGTTTTATCATTTGTTTTCAGTATTAGTATTTATATATGAAAATCATAAACTCTGGACCTGTTATCGTTAAATTAAAATGAAATATGCTCTAATTACATAGAGATTTGAGGTTCTTATTACAATTTTCCACCAAGGAACACTTACTTCTGACCAGAGAAGCAAAGAGGCTGTTTATCATTTACTAATATCTGACTATGATAGCCATCATATAGATAGAATACAATGAAAATTGATTATTGTACTCTAATAAACTTCTTAGTCCAAATTGCCAAAAAGTTCAAATTTAGCTGTTTATTCTGTGGGAATGCAGTTATAATTCTGATTAAATCTAGAACTTTTATGGGCACTTTTAATTTAATGCATTTATATCCAGTGAAAACTGGAAGTTAAGGGCACAAAGATTTGTAATGAATTGTGTTTTTTATACAAGCCTATAGAATCCCCGGGTAAATTAATTCAAAACGCTACTAGGTTTCATGTTGTATTTCTTGAAAGAAGTGAGAATTTGAGATTCTGTTTATATTGAATTAGTGCTAAAACTTAGTGGAGGACTTCACCCAGCCATAATGTAGGATTTATGGAATACATCACGTGAGATACTGAAACCAATATGCTTTTTGTTTTGCTTTTCTTCTTTTTTGGCTTTAGGGAATTGCAAGAAAACCTGGTTCGGTCTCACTCAGCTGGTGAGTCCCAGATTCCTTCAGCATCTGAGAAGTGCAGAGGAGGAGCCTGAAAGTGAATCAGTATCAGGTTATTGAATTTGTTTGCTGGTGGCTCACGTTTGTTTGTTTTTCGCTTGTAGGTCTAGGCAAGCCATTGAGTCCCGAACGCTCACGAATGCTGCTGGCTCTTAGGATCAATGTCCTGGCCAAAGGGTACAGTGGCATCTCTCTGGACACCCTCCATCAGATGATAGAGGCCTTCAATGGTAACCTTGAGCTTGTTTTATAGGAATCAGTGGTGTGTAATAAGTAGCGACCCATTTGTTCCATGACCTGCACAATTAAGTACTAGTAAAGGTTTAGAAATATATTCATAAAAAACATGGTGATGGAATCCAACCCTGTTATCCATTCTGGATGTCCTCAGCAGGGTGCAAAGCTAGGGAACTGCCTGTCAGCTAGTACTAAAAAACTCCTTGTCTCTGTTTTAACCAATACTTAACACTGCAGTTACAAAACAGAGGCCCTACACGCAGAATCTTCTATTCTTACAGTAACATTCTCACAGTGAGCCAAAACTGGGACCTCTTAATGTACAGCTAGTGCTTTTATGTGTGTAGTTTCTGCATTGCTTGTGTATATTATGATTGGTCTGGAGCAGCAACTTAGGTGTGACTCTTTCTCGATTGGAGAAGTAACTTTGTTTTTTTTAAAAGAAAAATTAAAAATTTTCATTTATTTTTAATGTAGAGGTTTTTTTCTATTTTAAATTTAAAGGTCTCCCAGTGTTTCATTAATTTCTTTTGGTAATGCATTATCATCTGTTTTGGAATACATCCAGCGTTTAATTATATTGTTCTTTTTTTTGAAAAATCTACATGGGTCAGCCTCTGCACCATCACATAGCATAAGAAATAAGAAAAGAACAGAAACTGTGGCAATAAAATGTGAGGTCCGGGAAATCAGCAGTAGGGGGTCAATCATGTGGCAGGGTCAGGCGAGGCCTAGTCCAAAATGCATTACAAAGGTTTAATTTAATTGACCTGTTCCATTGTAATTGCTGTTTTATTATTATTATTATTAGTAGTATTTCTATTATTAGTGGTGATGTTAATAATAATATGTTCGTGCACGAGCGAGGCCAAGCGCATGAACCTTATTTTAAAAAAAGATACATTCTAACAAAAACGGTTGCACCGTGGTGAACCGCAGAAACACAAGCCGTTATTCTTTGTAAATGTACTTTAATAAACGTGTTTCATATGGATGGATACTTCATTTCATTCTCGGAGTGCAACCTGTGCGACGTGTGACTCGCGTCCCGCCTGTCTCTGCAGCCTCCTGCCTGTCTTATGTCCCAGAGAAGGGGACGGTCGGGGCCAGCGGAGACCTCGCGCCCCTGGCTCACCTGGCGCTGGGGCTCACGGGAGAGGGCAAGATGTGGTCACCGAAGAGCGGCTGGGCCGACGCCAAATACGTGAGCGTTCGTTTATTACGTTCCCCGTAGTATACATCCCTATAAAACATCCCTTCAGAGGGAGCGATGGCAGACGGTCATTGATTTAAAATGCATTGGAAGTCCATCGAAAATGTGGGCAACCCTAAGTAACTAGCACTGTCAAGAGCACTGGGATCTGTTTATTTTATAAGTGAGAGAGTGCCTTTTTAGAGCACTTGTTTAATATATGTTATTATATAAGTTATGTTATTAGATATCCTAACATCTTACAGCAAAAAACAGCTCAACTTTCATTCTAATAATGTTCTAACTTTGAATACCAGCCGTTAACAGTTAATAACAACATGAATTTGTTGTTAATGGATTGTTTATAGCTGCTTATCGTAGAGCCCAAAGGTGTGACCAAAATGAGTATGTCATTGTATAATTTCTATTAAATTTGCATAAAATGCAAAAACGAAGCCCTTCAGCATGAATAGTTTGGTATTTGCCTTTGATGGGCTTTTAATAAAAACTTTTGATTGCTTCTGTTCCTATCCCCTCACCCCCATTGCACAGGTGCTGGAGGCCCATGGTCTGACTCCCATATCCCTGAAGCCAAAGGAGGTACTGTTTCTAAATGTATTCAGGGCACATATATACTACAAATATATAGTACAAAAGGAATGATCAGTAGCTTATACAAGTTTTCTGATGACATAAACCTTGAAGTACGAATTATAATGAAAAGTTATGGCTGAATTCTTACTTGCCAGTGTGTTTGCTACCATATAAAGTACAGGTGAAACCCACCTGACTTGCTTGGTGGATGTCAATGGCTCCCTGTGTTTGGCCCCCAGGGGCTGGCCCTCATCAATGGGACCCAGATGATCACGTCTCTGGGTGCGGAGGCAGTGGAGAGGGCTCAGGCCATCGCCAGGCAGGCTGACATCATCGCCGCGTTAACCCTGGAGGTGCTCAAGGGAACCACAAGGGCCTTTGACAGCGGTGAGATAGGCGCTGGAAGCAGGGAGCAGTGGGCTGGATGTTTTTAACGTGTTTAAAGTTAATAGGAAAATATTAGAAAAAAAATGTTAGACAGAACACAAGATACATCATTATTCTTGTTTACTGTCTGCATGTTTCTTTAGCATTTTAAAAATTTTTACTCTTTACCCATTTATATTTGACAGAGGAGGGTTGTTAAATCTTTACTGTTAAGGGCTGTTAATCTTACCGGATCGGATTTTACCCTGGTTGCTGTAGTGGTGAAGTCTGCCTAGAAGTCAAGGCAAGAATGTAGAAATCATGTCGCCACACTTCCCCCTGTCCCCTAGGTATCCATGAGCTGCGTCCTCACCCTGGACAGAAGGAAGTGGCCTTCAGGTTTCGATCTCTGCTGGATTCTGATCATCATCCTTCGGAAATAGCAGGTGCAGATCCATTTCAGCCAGCACTTCTTTCCTTTCCAGATTTTGCTCTGTCTAATGCTGTTTCTGATTCTAAATCTGTTTGACAGAAAGCCACAGGTTTTGCGACCGAGTTCAAGATGCGTACACCCTGCGCTGCTGTCCTCAGGTATGTTAAACTGGTGGTGTTTGAGTTTCCTATGTTAAATTCAGTCTGTTAGTTTACTATTTACCATTTTACCATGGTAAATTTCTAAGGGGTTTCGTTAGGTAATCAGATTTGTTAACTGCAATTCATTTCGATATCCAGGTGCATGGAGTGGTGAATGACACTATTGAGTTTGTCAAGAACATCATCAACACAGAAATCAACAGCGCCACAGACAACCCTGTATCCTTTCTCACTTCCACCTAGTCTGAAAACAGTTAAGCCGCCTTTTTTTCCAATTAATCAAGTGCTTGGATTTGCATTGCAAACTTAGAAGGTAATTTCTTTTTAAAAGAAACAATTGCTGAAGATTTTCTTTGTAGGGAAATACCTCAATTCATTTTCAGTGGCCTGTAAGGGTTGGATTCTGAGGATTTTTTTTTATTCCTAGCTGCTTCCCTGGTAACATTGGTAATTGGTCATATTTATTTTCAAATAACACTGAATGTTTTTTAAAATATCTGGGCATTTTGGACATGGCTATCCATTAAGGGAGATAAGCATGATAATATATAGTTTGTGAACAATAAAAAGCTCACATTTCTATTTAAATGGTACTTAGTGAATTAAAAGAAGGCTATAGGCAAACCTCCAAACAGCCCGAATGATTTTCTGCTGCAGAAAATTTAAGGGCCCCTGAGAGAATGGATGTCTCTGTCACAGTCTATTTTTTTTTACTATCACACCTGTTACATGTGTTTCATGTTGTTTATGGCAGTTTGAACTTAACAGACATTAAAGATGGTCTTTGCTGAAAGGGGAGAGACCATTTCTGGTGGGAATTTTCATGGTGAATACCCTGCTAAAGTAAGTGAATGGAAAAACCTGTATAGATTTGTTGCAAACATGATGTGAGGCTGTAATAAATAACCAAGTACAAGTAATAAATAAGGAACAATTGTAGATGTGAAGAACTTGAACTCACACCTGAAGGAGGCTTACTAGCCAAAAGTTTTTTCTACTTTTGTGAAGTGTTACCTGTGCTTTGTTATAAATTAATGTGCATCTTTCATGTTCCCTAAATTGAACAAGACTACATTTCCCTTGCTATTTGAATGGATTATTTTTCTACACTGTAAATATGAGTGAGAAGATGTGTAGCAAGACCTGATTCAGAGTAATAACAGCATAGAATGAATAATCGCAAAACGCCCACAGTTTCATCTCGGAAATATCAAGCGTTTGATTATAAAGTCGCTCGTATGTTCTGTTATTCCAGGCTCTGGACTATTTAGCCATCGGTGTGCACGAGCTGGCCTCCATCAGTGAGAGGAGGATTGAGCGGCTGTGTAACCCGTCTCTGAGCGAGCTGCCCGCATTCCTGGTCAGCGAAGGGGGCCTGAACTCCGGGTTCATGATAGCCCACTGCACTGCCGCTGCTCTGGGTGAGTAAGTGGCACCAGTGGTGGACGTGGCACTGGAGAGTGGTGATGTGTTGCACGTTGCTCCTCGTCTGTACATCTCTGTTTCACGATGTGGGCTTTTTGTGTCCAGTCGGTCTTTTCAGCAATTATTTATGATCGACAAGTGCTTGTGGACATTGGATCGAGAATTTTTTATGAGCATTTCATTGCACTTCAGTGCATATGACTAATAAACTGAACTGAACTAAGTGGTTACATGTACTGCCAAGAGGGCTGGTACCAATACCTGAAACTCAGCGGAATAAGAACAGCCGTTTTTGGCTGTAGGCGAGTACAGAGGAAAGTGTGAAAAAAACATATTAAGAAAGCCTAGATTTCTGTAAAGGTTGTTGTTGTTGTAGTTTCTGAAAAAAATACTTTGTATTTCATTTTGTGTGCCTAAGCTGCATACACTGAGGAAAAAAATAAAAAAATATTATCCCACCAAATCTGTTAGTTAGTCACAGAATTTTTATTTCTTCATTGCTAGTTCTAAAATCTGTAAAACACCAGAAGACCTGTAGTTTGGTGAATAATGGACACAATGTATGGAATATGTATGTGGTATGATGAGGCTACTGTCTGTGCCATGATAACCACAGTCTATGTAGCATCATGAGGACATTGTCTAGTATGTTACACTAAGAGGACACTACAAGTGGTATGATGATTACAGTGTATGGTGCATGATGAGGACACTGTATGTACCATGATAGGGACACTGTATATGATAATGTGAGGACACTAAGTACCCTGATGAGGACACTGTATATGATAATGTGAGGACAGACTCTTCATTCAATAGCACTGTCCTGTCCCTGCAGTGTCCGAGAATAAAGTACTGTGTCACCCGTCCTCTGTGGACTCCCTGTCCACCAGCGCTGCCACTGAGGACCATGTCTCAATGGGTGGCTGGGCAGCCAGGAAGGCCCTCCGCGTGGTGGAGCATGTGGAACAAGGTACGGCACAGGAGGACGTGATGGAAGAGATCGAATTGAGGGGGTACTGTGAGACACAGGCTCTGCAGACCCTGTTTGTATCCCTTTGAATTACTACACTGTTCTCCGCCAAATGTAGTTTTACTACAGGACAAACAGCATCTCTTTCATCAACTGTTGCACATGTGATCATCCTCTCACACCCCAAAAACTGAACACGTAAATATTTTTTCACATTATAAGACTTTGTTTCTCTCTTATAGTTTAGGAAGAATTAATATATGTCAGCTGGGCGATGGTTTTCAATAATATAGTCTTTTCTTTGTACCTCCTAGTTATCTTATTTGAACAGATAACCAATCCTCTATGTGACCTGTTTCTGGTCACCTAACCAAAAACAAATTGACTTATCTTTGAAAATCATTTACTTTCAGCTATTTATAAACTGAAAGACTTCAAGCGATGGGCTAACATGGGATAATATTTAACTCAGTGTGACACAAGGGCTTGACTGTGGATCATCACTTGGAAATTCAGTACATTGTAGACATGCAGCTGCTATTAAAACTTAAATGGAAACTCAAACTTTCATTTCAGTCTTGCATTAAATGTCTGCTGCTGAAGATGGATTTTGTTTTACACTGTAAAATCATTAAATTGTTAGTGTATTAATACACAACACTCCCTGTATAACAGCTGAAAGAAATCTGTAAGAAACCTCTGGCAGCTGGGAAACCTCTGGGATCCCTTCTCCCTGTGCAATGAGTTCCCTGGGTTTTGCTTATGCATTCCTAAAAGTCCTTCAGGATTCCAGAAGGTTTTTGTCTCCAAGGTATTTTGCATACAGATGTGTTCAACTTGATATGTCAAAAATGAGAAAGATTAGCGATGGGGGGGAAAAAGTGATCCAATTAGGTGGAGTTAACAAAAAGGACATCAAAGGTTGTAGTTTTTACTTAGCCAGCACAGTTATTTTCTATAGGGGCTTTTCCAGGCAATACCTTCCATGCTTTAAAGCATGTGTGAGGCTAGCCCTGTGTCTGTGATTCACAAGGTCACATTGCACAATTTAGGAGCTGATTACATCACCATTGGTATTCTTGCAATTAGAGAGGGGGTCAGTATCCCGTGTTTATTCACCCACTTTGCTACAGCAATCTTGGGCCCCCAGTCTAATCAGTCTAATCAGTCCCCCGGGGGTCTGATAAGACCAGGCCATGATCCCTCTGGTATTGAGCACTGCTCTTCAGAAAGGCTCACAGGCCCAGCAGAAGTGGAGCAACAGTGCAGTTGAAATCTACACTATTGTCAGATTTTCCGTTAAGTATTACGGAACAAAGCAAATTTACTGCTTAACACACAGTATTACAAGCGAGAATGGTTTTTGCTTTCAAATAAAAACGGGGCTGATCCCACTGGCTGCTCAGAAGCGACTGGGCTTCTGAAAAAGGCTGCAAAGATTGTCTGGAGAAGCAGCCAATGGGACAAAAAAACTTGAAACAAATTGAGAATTCCACAATAAAACAACCGAAGAAAAATAAATGAATACAGGATGACGGAATTAAACCTCAGTGGCATGATTTTGTCTGTTCTCCCTGTGCTCATGTGGGTTTCCTGCAGGTCCATCAGTTCAAAGACATGCTGGTAGAGTAATTGGTGTGAGAGTGCGTGTTTGTGTCTGTCATGTGTCCATTGTGTGCCCTGCGATGGACTGGCATCCCATCCAGGGTGTACCCTCCCTTGTGCCTCTTGTTTGCTGGGATAGGCTCATGACCCTGTATTGGATAAAGCGGTTTGAAAATGTATAAAAGGAATTAATCTGTTGTCTCTGAAAAAAGTAGAATGTTTGAAGCAGAAATAAATCTAGGGAGAGCACCTATCTCTAATTCTGTTAAACCCTATCACACCTTCCTAGACCGCCCTAACTCTGCCCTGTAGATATAAGGGGAAATTAATAGTTTTACAATTCTAAGAAAAATCCAAAGAAATAGCAAAGCAGAATCGACCGGACAGAAAAAATAAAATGAGGTGTGTTAATTCAGTGAAAATGAAGAATTAAGCCCTGACTTAATTAGGTGGGTGTTTATCAAGAAGAGAAATGTGAACTGGGAACATTAACAGATGTGCTTTCCTTCTCAGTTCTGTCCATAGAGCTGCTCGCAGCCTGCCAGGGGATCGAGTTTTTACGCCCCCTGAGAACTACCACTCCATTGGAGAAAGTCTATGACCTTGTTCGTGCATCTGTCAAGTAAGTTAAACACAAAATCATATATTTACACAGGTTTGTCTATTTAAAAAAATGCAGAATAGACTGGTTAATATTTGGCTAATGTACTGCATGTCTTTCTTTCAGGCCATGGATTAAGGATCGCTTCATGGCTCCAGATATCGAGGCTGTTCACAGGCTACTTTTGGACCAAAAGGCAAGTGTTACAACTGGGTTGCTTTTTGCAAGAAAAAGAACAAATGCAGCACATTGCATTTTCCCTAGAGTTTTCTGGAAATGTATTTGGATTTTTTTTTAAAGACAATTCAAAATACCACAGTGATGACAATACCATTGAAGGGTACTGTAGTTTTAATTAAGCTGTTGTGAAAATGGAAAACACACATTATTTGACACTATGTTTATACTAGTAAAACTTTATGCATAGCCTTAATTAAGTATAGCTTAAATATTCTATTTAAAGAAAAGCACTAACTGTGATGGACTTTTGTCTTGTCCAGGGTATACCCTGCCTTGCACTTGTTGCTTGCTGGGATAGGCTCCAGCCCCCCCTGCAACCCAGAACTGAATAAAGCAGTTAGAAAATGGATGGAAAAGCACTGAAATTATTTTTAAAATGACATAAAAACGGCAGCTTTCTTCTAGAAAATGAGTCTTTGTCTTCCCTACAACTTTTGATTTTCTTCTCTCATACAGGTGTGGCAGGTAGCATGTCCTTACATAGAAAAGTACAAGCTGGAGCACATACCTGAATCACGGCCTACCTCACCAACAGCCTTTGCGCTCGACTCTCCGTCGTCACCAAGGAAACGCGTGTGCCATGAATACGATCATTGAGACAGACGGGGCAGACACATTAACTAAGCCATTATTTGTTATCTTAGTTAATAATTTTAACGTAAATCTAAGAATTCCTTACAAATCTTAATAAAATAAAGGGAAATGTGTTTAATTTTTGATTTATAAGGTACCTTAATATTTTGCTAGCTGGGACAGTGGTAGTTTTTGTAAGGGACAGTATAGATCAGGAGTGAATAGTTCTATTTCCTGAGTTCCTAAAGGTTTTCCACTTGCCTTTCATCTGTGTTGTAACTTTACTGTGATAATTATTACCCTTGTTACTTGTTACCCAGATAAATCAAGTGAACATAGTTCTATATCTGAAATACCTGATACTTTATTCCTGTATAACTGCGTGTGGCAACTGGACAGCTGCATTTAAGGGCTGGCGCTGTTACTACTGGTAAAGCTGTACAATGTATTCGGTTTGCTCAAATATTTTTGTTTATAAATGATTAAGTTGGTCATTACTGATTGTCTTTTTTCTACCTCACATACTGTATGGTCATTTAAAAGCTGATGTCTGAGTTAAATGGATCAGTAACATGTACAGTCCCCAAAAAATAATTTCTGTAATAATCCAGTACCAAGGAAATATTTTTAAATGCCAAGATAAGATTTGTTTTTGCAATTTTTTTCTCCTTACTGCTTGACTCCAATTAAATTTATTAGAAAACATGTGAGCTTTGATGTTTGCAACATTGTTATCCATACCCCAAAATATTAAATAAATCTAAATATCTACAGTAATAACAAAACATGCCTAATAACTCTTAACAACTATTAAAGTGATATGTATTTACAGTGTTATCTCTGTTATCTCTGGCATGCATGAAATTGCAGAAATTCTTTATGCAAGTTTAGTAAAATGAATGTCTTAATCCATTTCAACATTTACATAATTATTTATTATTTGGAAACAATATATTAATGGTTATATATTGTCATTTTCTTTATAACATTTCAGTATATAGGTAATACCCCTGTTTCAGATTCAGTTTTAAAATAAAACAATATGAACGAATCCCTTATATCTGTTCTGAATCCTGTACTCATCTTTATTATTTTGTGTGTAAAATACACTAGTTTATGTATTGGGTTTTCACAAAGCTATTTGTTGGAGAGCATAATGTACTGCATATCACTAGCTGTATTTTTATTCTATTGGAAACAGATCATTTTCTTAGAAATAAATTAGTATTTAAGGTTTCTCTGTACTTAATTCTTCACCGGAATACCATTCATTCTTAATCAAATATTTTCAGACTACTTGCTAAAAATACATTCTCAGGAATGACAGCTGAAAACCAACTATAACTTTGTTATATCAAAAGTTTTACATTAAAGGACAAATATGTGATTGGCACAGATTTATGATACATTTCTTTAAACTTTTAATTTCTTAATTGATACTCTGTTTTGTGTAAAATGGTTTCTTGACACAGAAGACACTGAGAAGAAAAAAGCAAAAAAACATTTTTTAGGTTTTCAAATATATAGTCATTTAAAATAATTGAGTCATTCCTAACATTGATTCAAGACTAAACTATAAATCATTTAAAGCAGTTAAGAGTATATATAATCCAGTGACCAAAACCATTTTGTTGAACTTTACAACTTGGTTACACATCTTTCAATGACAAGTTTGCTTTTTAATATTTTAAGTAAGTAATGTAGAATTAGCTTTGATCTCTGTCCATACTTGTACTAGATGGTACTTGAGTACAAAGTGTCAACTGTAAATGCAGACTCAATAGGCTGTGTCAATAGTACTGTGTGCCGACAGCACAGATGAAGATGAAACGGCAAAGGAAAAAATGAAGGAGAATCACAGCAATGTGACATGATGCTTGTAAAACAACACTGTACACCGGGCTTTTGTTTTACAATGTAATAATACAATAATACATGCAGCTCTCAACTGATATCCTACTGAAGCTCAGCAGGGTTGAGCCTGGTCAGTACCTGGATGGGAGACCTCCAGGTCTCCGTGGGACCAGTGGGGGGTGCCCACGCTGTAGTCTGTGTGGGTCCTAATGCCCCAGTATAGTGGCGGGGACACTATACTATAGTGTGCGCCATCGTTCAGATGAGATGTTAAGCCGAGGTCTTGACTCTCAGTGGTCATTAAAGATCCCAGGGCATTTCTCGATAAGAATAGGGAGCTATCCCGGTGTCCGGGCCAAATTTCTACCCTCGGCCGTTACTGTAGCCTCCAAATTGTCCCCGTGTATGACTGGCTTGCAGTTGCGCTGCGATGGACTGGCGCCCTGTCCAGGGTGTACCCTGCCTTGCGCTCATTGCTTGCCAGGTAGGCTCCGGCTTCCAGTGACAACATATGGTATTAAGCGGTTTGGAAAGTGACATGACATTACATGACATAATTCACTAGTTATGTTCATTATATACTATAGGTAAACATCTGAGTACTTTGCTCAAACACAAGAGCTGTACTAGCTCACTGAGTCTTTGAGCCTGCAACCTCTTAGTTATATCAGCAATTTCACACTCTTCTTCCTCTGGAGAAACCTATAAGACTGGTTTCCCAATAAGACTGCTAAATAGCCAACCTGCAGCTCCTTTAGCAAATCACTTGTAATGGCTACATGGACAGTTTTCCTTGTATTCAGCATATCCGCACTACTTGGACATAATACATTGCATAGACCATGGACACATAGCAGCTCTACTCATATTGAGTTTCATTCAATTTCTATTACATCTATTATTATGTAACCTTATTTTTGTAACCTTGATTTTGTGATTTTGTGATTTTGTGATTTTTGTGATTATGTGATTATGTGATTCTTGTGATTTTTGTGATTTTTGTGACCTCGCAGAAAAGACATTTCATTGCCAGCAACTACTCCTGCACACAGTATTGTTGTACATTTGATAAATAAACTGATTTGATTTGATTTAATTAAAAAGCTGTACATGTTTTTTTATGAGTGCACATTCAAGCATTCCCTTTGATTCATGTGAAGATTTGACTGGCGGCATTGTAATTTCCATTCAAAGCAGAAAACAAATGTTCTCTAAAAAGACTAGAAACCTTCTCGTGACTCATGATGAATAGTAAAACCTGATGAGAAATAATATGGCAATATGGAAACAGCTGGTAACTTTTTATTAAGGAGTTAAAGATAAAAGATCAGGTAATTCAATTAGTTGATAGGCATTTATTTTTTTCAAAATGCATTAATTTACACATCCCCTGGAAACCATTCAGTAGTCCATGGTTTTGTCATTATCATAAACCACCATTCCTTTAATGATGACGTATCTGATAAGCTCCTGATGTCCTCCAAACTGATAAATCAGATGCTCCCACCTAGAAAATATATATAATGCAATTATTTTATGTCATATTGAAGTTAAGTCAGTAAATACATCCATCCATTTTCTAACTGCTTCATCCAGTTTAGGGTCTCAGGTGAGCTGGAGCCTATCCCAGCGGCAGGATACACCTTGGATGGGATGCCAGTCCATCACAGGACACACACAGACATACTGTAGATACACACACTCTTGCCAGGGTCAGTTTTCCCAGCCTTAAATTAACCTACCAGCATGTCTTTGGTAGGTTAAAATTAACCTACCAGCTGCAGTAGGAAACCCATGCAATCACATGCAAACTTCATGCAGATAAAACCCCAGTAATTGAACCCAGGGCCCCAGTACTGTGAGGAGGCAATACTAACCACTGTGCCACCCTCAGTAAATATAACCGGCATTAAATAAATCCAATTAACTGAACATTTTCTTTGCATCTTACACTGCATAATATATATTTTTGATACATAGCCACTACGTCTTAGTCATTGCTGCAAATTCCATAAAAAGAATAACATTTTAAATCTGGGAAATTGGGAACTTCTGCTCAAGATTGTGTGCTATTCATAGTGTAGGCTATCAATAAATTTGTTTATTGCAGCACTGGACACATCTACAGAGTCGTCTCATGGGGACGTTTCAAAAATGTCAAAAGTTGCAGTGCAGTCCACATAATTCAGCCCAAAACAAATAAAAAAAAACATGCCAGTCAACATGTAAATGTACAGTAGCATGCCATGAAGCCTGAAAATCTAGTCCTAGAATCTAGTCTAGTCACCAATAATATCGATTCTTACTAACAACGAGGCTTGATCATGGTGGCACCTTTTGTGACCTTTTGTGACCTTTGTGTGCAGTTTGCTTTGCTTCACATGTCCATCATGGTAGTCCTAAAACAAGGGTGCTGTCAGAAAGAATCCGACATGGCTAATGGCCTGATGAGTAGTGTTAAATGCCTTTGTCTTAGTTGTGCTCTAAATCCAGAAGACCTTAAAAAGGTGTTCCACATGCGCACAAATGTATATGCTCGGCTGTGTGGCGCTTTCACCACTCCGTAAAATGAAACCAAATGTCCGAATGTGATGTGAGCGAAGCTGTACCGTGCAGAATTCAGGATGATGAGGTCTCCCTGTTTGTCGACCTCTAGAGAGCCGTGGAGGTGAGACTTCCCCAGGGCGTAGGCTGCATTGATGGTAGCCGCAGCTAATGCCTCATTCATCGACATCTTCATGTTCACACAGCCCAGATGCATCACTATAGGCTGGGAAGAAAGCGAAAGTCAACAGCCAGCTTTCATCTGCTCATCCCATACCTTTACACGGCAAATCAACTGATAAGCAAATCACAAAGCGCAAATTAACCAAAAGGAAAACAATAAATCAGATCATGATGTTTGAGGTCCCAGTTTGCTTAGGATAGGAGAAGGAAGATAATGCAGTTTGATGGGATTCTGGATTTCACAAATGTTTCTGCGGGTTAAAGATTAGACCTCGACAATAAAACCTCCCATAAAACCCACTTAAACTGAGTGGTTTACTTAGATAACCTCCAGTTAGAGATTTACTGTATGTTGCATGAGTAACAGTTAATTAAGAGCTGAAAATAAAACCTCTGTCTCTGTACATTCGGTATCATACTCAGACACCTACCATAGAGCAACAGTAGGCGTTGGGGTTGAAATCACTGCCCAGAGCTACGATGACTCCTGCATCAAGCATATCTCTTGCTCTGGGTTGCTTCAATCTACAGAACAAGCAGACTGGTGGCATAAACCTCCATTTCCAAAACAATGTTTATCAACCATCAGAATGAAAAAGAAATGAAAGGGGAACAAAGAAAGCCATGTTCTGTGACACAAATAAAAGGGAATCATTCAGCCCAGGTGAGATAGTGGAAGAAAACCCCTCCTTCTGGGTGCCTGGTTTGCTCCTGAGAGATGAAGATGAGATGATTTTTATTTATCTTCACTCCCTGTTTTCTGTACCAGTGCTGTAGGTCCTTGCCCCAGCAGGTACTGTATTCGCCTTCTCAGCAGAGTCCACCTTGCTGACTGCTACTCTTTTTCATGTGCGTTTTATTAATTAACAGACCAAGCAGAAATCACTCAGCTGGCTTTTTACACATGAGCAGTTAGGATCCGCAAAGCATTTGCTTTACTTGGAGATCATTTCAATTTGTTTTCTGTGTCTCGGCACACAGATTTGTTTAGAGTGCAAACTTATGTCAATATATCTAAAGACTTTCTGACGCTGACTAGAACTAATATTAAATCAAGAGATATCACACCACAATAGATATACCTTCTGATGATTGTGGCACAGCTACTGTATATCTTTCATTTAATCCAGCACCCTGGCCAGATGTGCTGAAATACATTACAGCACCAAATACATTGTACAAACTTCCCAGCTGTGTGCGGCTAATGAATTGCACCTTCCGCCTACTCATTCATGATTTCTTTCTTTTGTCCTTCCTATCCCAGCTCTTTGACTCTTGTTCCTGCACCCTGATGAGCATCCACAACAAAAACATACTTTTTTATCTTTTTAAATTTCAACATGGAATTAACCTCTACTTGTTCCAGTTCTAATGAGGGTTATTCAATTGCATCTAGCTCAACGTGCCCCCCTCCCCAGAACATCAGTAAAGACCTACTGTAAATCCCAGTCTAGGTAATGAATAACAGGTAACTAGACAGGTCAGCATGTTTAGAAGATTTAGCACTATAGCTATGTTGTCTAGGATATTAAAGCATGCGTTACATTTTAGTTGACCTAGATGAAAATGGAGTGTTTGACTCCAGGGAAATTAAGGGGAACCTGTTTTTTATTTAAACAAAAGAAGTTCAATCGACTGGTGTTATTAACGGGTCGCAGTATAAACACTACAGCACAGTTTTGTTAAAAATCTAACCACTGATTAAAAAGCAGGAAGCAAAAAGTGACACATAATGCATACAAACAAATGACAAATAATAACTGAAACCATAAGGAAATGGCTTCTTGCCATCCTTTTGAATCCCATACACCCTGGCTGTGAACACATTCTCTCAGCAATTTGGCTATAGAGTTTTAAAATCAAACCAACATAGTATTATATTTTCTTTTTAAAAAGCTTCCTGAAAAAAAGCATTCCATGGAGAGTTACATGGCATCTCAGCTTGCATTTGATAAATGCACCATGAAAAGATCATACCGTATAGAAACGTACTCATGTCACGGCACTGAAACACAAACTAGAAGACACAAGTCAAAACTGAGTGGAAGTTCATTTAAAAGCAAGAACAGCAGGCAGCTTTTCTACCCAAAGGGTTGTGGGAGCATGGAATAAGCTACCCAGCTATAATGTTAAAGCAGATATTTTGGCTTTCTTCAAGAAATTATATCAATTAACAGTATCCAAACCTTATCAAATAACTACTAAAAGGGTCTCCACTCATAGAAAACTGTCTTACATTCCGTATGATATAATCAATGTATTCTCTTGCAGTACAATAGAGTATGAATATACCGTATTTTACTCAATGGCTTGTCTTACTGTAAAATACAGTATGTACTGAATGTGATATACCTGTACTGTATTTTACTCAATGGCCTGTCTTACCTTAAAATATAGGCAGTTGTTGGTAACAGAACAGCTGACGTTTTGGATTTGGCCATGGCTGCTATCCCCTCGTCAGACACTTCCTCCAGATGACTAACGGCCAGAGCGCTCAGTTCAGCCCCAAGCTGAGCAACAAGACAACATGGAGGTTAGTCTCAAGGCTAGCAAGGTCATTCAACATTTTTGAAGGTCTTATGTGATTCACAATTTAAAATTTAAAAGTATTAAAACACAAATCAGGATTCGCAACCTACAAACCAAAAGGGGGCGTCATACTGTACTGTACCCCCAGGACTTAATAACTGCTGAGAAAAAAAACTGATACTGAATATTCTTTAAAAAAAATAGGATTTTACATGAATAAATATCTGGGCTATTGAACTATCATTCTTATCCACCTCTTTTTTATACCTGTGTAAAGATAATTGTCCCCTTTCAACTGTCTTATATTCTGTACATTTCGCTTCTAAATAGGACTTAACATACGTATAAAACAAAAAATAGTTGAAATAATGAAGAGGGCACCTCAGCAGAGTTGGTTGGATAAAGTTCGTCACCATGGAAGTTAATCTGTAGGCCTATGTCTTGTCCTGCCTTCAAGATGGCTCTGGTGCAATTGAGGTCAAACACTCCTCTCTCACAGAACACATCTATATTATCAATACTGAGCTCTCCTTTGGACATCTTGTCTTTCAGTTTAGGGAGGTGAACTTTAAGGATCTCATCAGTTGCCTGGGATGCTGTCTTCCCCCTGCAAAGTAAAATCTCGAACTTTTTAAGACGTCCTCCTGAAAAGAACATTTTTACTCCCTTTAAGATTTTAACAAATAATAAAATATTTTTCTTCATATAAACAGGTGGCTCATTTCAGGAACTGTGAATGCTCAAGTCTGCATTAATATTTAGTGATACAAGTTCACAAAACCCAAAGCATCACCTTAATCATGAAACTGCACCTCAGCAGAGGAAGACCAGACGAACCTTCACAGATTCACAAGGAACCTTACAGACAAAATACACCACTGAGGTAGTAAAGAAAACCTCTTTAGGCTTCTGTGATGCTACAAAAAACAAAAGGTATCAATTCAGAAAAAAAGCAAAGTAATTCATAAAGCTTTAACTACTGTGGGATATTTTGCTTCTTTTCATTCTCAGTGAAAAATTATATATAACAGATTTTTAAATAATATATAAAACATACTGCGAAATGGAAGATGGTGTAGTGGTTAGCATTGTTGCCTTGCAGTGCATGGCCCCTGGGTTCAATTCCTGGGCTACTACCTGCATGGATCTTCTATGTTCTCCTCACATTTGCAGGTTTTTTTTTCCAGGAGCTCAAGTTTCCTCCTGTAGTCCAAAGATATTCTAGCAGGTTAATTGGCTTCTGGGAAATTTGCCCCTGGAGTGAGTGTGTGTGAGTTTGTGTCTGTGTCTGTGTCTGTCCTGCAATGGACTGGTGTCCCATCCAGGGTGTACCCTGCCTTGAGCCCGTCGTGTGCCCGGACAGGCCTCTGGCTCCCCTATGACCTTATACTGGATAAAATAGTTCGAAAACCGATAGATGGATAGAGTTGAAAACATGTTGTGAAATATGCATCTCTGTGTAAAAAACATCTGTTGTAGAATAGACAATGTGTGTACATTCCACTTACTCTTGTAGAGAATTGAGGCAACCCCGAGCCTTTCCTGGCAGAATAAGCTTCAAGACAGGACTACACCAAGGATGGGATGATGGGATGATGTGATGCCCACCACTGGGCACACACACGCGCAGACACAGGCACAATTTAGAGACACCAATTAAACCCATTCTTTGGAGGGCAGGAGGAAAGCAGAGTACAGGAGTAAAAGCAATGTGAATACGGGGAGAACATACAAGGTCCACGCAGAAGGTCGCTGGTGTGAACTCCACATCAAAGCAATAAAAGCTATGAGGCAGCAGCGCTAGCGACCAGGCCCCCTGAATCTGCGGTACTGATGGGATTAACCTGGGCACTGCGTGAGCCCCGCAGTAGGTGGAGGAGATGCCGATGGGGAGCTCCCGGCGAGCCTGCTCGATGACGCTCAGCATTTTGACCTCGGCGTCCAGCTCCAGGCCGTATCCGCTCTTGCACTCCGCCAGCGTGGTGCCGGCCCTCAGCATCCTCAGCAGCCTCGGCCGAAGGCCAGCCAGCAGCTGCTCCGGGGAGGCCCTGCTGGTGTGCTCCACCGTGTAGTGGATCCCTCCGCCGGCCTGGTGCAGCTCCATGTACGTGGCCCCCGCCAGCTGGGCAGAGCAAGCGTGGGCTCAGACTTCCCCTGCACCACTCTCGGAGCGCCTGCGCGCTGTTTGTTCTTACTGTGTTCAAATTACCTCTGGCTTGCGCACCTCTAACGCAGCGCCTTTCTTGCCCCTCATTGGTTTGAGTTCTTACACTGTTTAGTTAAGCCAACAAGCTAGCATACAAGGTAGTGTGGTGGCGCTGTGCCTGTGGCTGGAAGGTTGCCGGTTCAAATCCCATAGCTGGCAGAGGAATCCTACTCTGTTGGGCCCCTAAGCAAGGCCCTTAACCCCAGCTGCTTCAGGGGTGCTGTATAAATGACTGACCCTGAGCTTCTCTCCCTTGTCTCTGTGCCTGTGTGTCTCATGGAGAGCAAGCTGGGGTATGTGAAAAGACAAATTCGTAATGTAAAAAATTGTATATGGCTAATAAAGTGATCTTATTACTATTTGTACCTAAAAGTGACATTGAGACTATTATTGCCAACACCTCACTATTGATGGAATCCGGATTCCTTCAAATAAAGGGGAACCGCAGTCTAAATTTCTCAGACAGGTTATTAAATCTCAGTAACAAAATTAATTCATTGACGGTAAAGAAAAAATGAATTGCGACAACATGGCGACTTACATGTGGTGCTTAATTCATTTTTTCTCGCTAGTACATCACAGTACATCAATCATTACTGGGACTAGTGAGCGGAAAGGGGCGCATCATGCCACAAGTGAAAGACCGAGAGGTCGCAGGAATTGAGACATGATGCGGCCCTTTCCACTCACTAGTCCCAGTAATGATTAATGAACTGTGATGTACTAGCAAATAAGTACAGGTTGTGCAGCAGGTATTTCACCACAGAAAGTTTCCAACCTGATCCGCACGCAGAGTTAACATTTATAAGAAAAACTGTCTCGAGGTCGAGAGCAATATTTCTATTTAATTACAAGAGATGTATTCACAAGCCTATACAATGTCATAGGGCCGCATCACATCACTGGACATTCTGTTGCCTCGTTCTGAATCTCAGAATATATCGTTGCGCATACCTGGAAATTTTGTCTATTTTGTGGTGTAAATTGGAGATTTTACAAGTTACTGTGTACTGTGTTACTTTTATTGTGGCTTGAAATGCACTCATCAATGCTAATTCTTTCTAACCCCGGAATATAAAAAAGCCTTGCAGTTCACTTTTAAATAGCTTCTAAAAATGAATCAGATTGGTTTTGGTTTTGTTTAAAGTCCTCTCATGTTCAAAGGAGAACATTTTGATTAATCTCCTTTAAGGAAGATATTATCTTACAATGATTTCATCTTGATTTACATTTAATGTAACAATAATACTGATTTGTTGCATTTGTGAAGCCTCTCAGTCCAGTATTGATTTTGTATGGTGCCCTATGGCAGTTTGTTAAGCTTTTATGAAGGGATATTTCAGAGGCAAACATAGCAGTGTCAGAGCTATAAATCACAAAAATGATAATAGTAAGACATCAAATTAAATGTAGATAGTTAATTTCTCGACAAAACCTGTTGCATTATACATAGGTAGATGGATGATAGATAAGAGACATAGATACCTTCATTGCAAATTCATGAACTCTGTCACCTGCCCAGACAGGATGAGTATGGGCATCTATCAAACCTGAAACAAATGTTAGTTATTATAAATTATTTAATTATATATCATTTCATTTTACAAAACATGAAACTGTTGAATACAAAGGGAGTATAGTTTTCTTCAAATCTATGGGGTTACATTTTAAGCATGTGTACACTTACTGTACACTCAATACACACCTGGGATGACGCACATGCCCGAGGCATCAATTACATTTTCAAATGATGCTTCCTTGTACTGAGAATCGATTAAGCCAGCAGGTCCCACAGCCTTCACAAGGCCATCCCTGAAAAGAACAGACACATAATAGTCACAAAGAACCAGACTTCGTTAGCAGAACCTGTACATGTATCAGGCACAGCCCTGCCAAAGTTCGATAACTCGGGATTGAACTCTCCCTAATCCCATGTCCTTTCTTTGTCTTGCCTGTGAATAGAGACGTGAAAAATGTTTCCAAAGGGATTCTTCAAGGAATCTTGAAGAGTATTTTCAGGAGGCACTTTGGATTTCTGAACCATTTTACATTTTATTCACTTTAAAAGCACCAAAATGAAAAACAAAATCAGAGTATTCACCACTGTAATAAAGTGGTCTAAATTCTGCAATAATTTTATTAATCAAGTATTTTAGAGCGTGCTAATACCCCCCTTCTACACAAACAACTACACAAGGAACTTAAAATGCCAAAAGGAAATAAAATGGTATTAAATAAAATATAAGCTTGGTAAAAATCTGAAGAATACTGCATAGCTGCTTTGAGTACTAATAATACTGTGCGATTATGGACTACTACTGTATAAATAAAAAAATATTGCACAAGGACGAGACAACAGGATAGCCAAAATAGAAACTGGAAAAAAGTGACACCTTGTGGTAGATATAGTTGAAAGAAAATAGGTTTTTGGTATTTAAAAAAGTACCTTCCTTTAAAGAGAATGTATAGCGTATTCTGTTGTAAAGAAAACTTCGTCAAAATTGTCGAAACTTCCTATAAACATCGTCGAAAATTCCTATAAACGTACATCACCACTACAGGAATACGGTTATAATACAATATGAGAAATGTTATATAACACCACAGAAGCGTTATTATAAATAATTTATTTGTACGGTACATTTTGTTAGTGTTTATGATCCGCCAACCTTCCGTGCCTCCGAAATAGAATACCTATTCTAAGAACAGTTTTTCATGTATTACACATTATAATGTAGCGATGACAGTATAGCACCATTGCAACAACAAAACATAACTTACTTCCCCACAACCAAACTGGCATTCTCCATCAGTGCGAATTTTTTCATTCCGTCTTTGGTCAGGTATCTTTCGCCATTATTACAAACTAAAACTATTTGTTTCGCGTTTTTGACTAGCAGCCTTAAATCGTTAGACATTTCTGATGTAAATATGTGAGAAAACGTTTGTATGTATAAATATTTCCAGAAAAAAAGGACAGACGTTTTAATTCACCGAATGACAGAGGACTAAGACGGCAAAGGTTTAAAAAATCTGACAGGTGGGGGCGGGGATTAGTACTAGTACCCGAAGGTCTAAGAGCATTTAGAGGAGAGAAGTAGCACAGCGAGTAAAACTCATCAACTACTTGTTTTGTGTTTATATTTCATGTATAGTAAAAGTAGACTAACGCTAGTTAACCTTCACCTTTTTTGGTAGGCTTTTGTGCCCTTTAAGAGACAAACACTAATTACAGACGTACATTTTATATTTTATTTGTTCACGTATTTTGTGTAAGGGAATCTTTAGGTGATCTACAAATTCCACCTTACATTATGCTGTATAGAAATCCGAATTATCGATTAACTAGTCTTCCTGTAAATGTGTTTTGATTTGAAATGTCTCTCGGCTCAGTTAGTGTGGTCGTCGAACTGCACCGAGCCGCCATATCCTAACGAACCGATCAGAAAAGCTGCTGTGAGTGAATGTGTAAAATTGCGGGAAACAACTTGAGTGTTAGTCGAAATAAACCGTGTAAGTATAACAAAAACGTATAAATGGGGTGTGTGATAAGTGTGAATTAATGGCAATAACGCAGTAGGATAGTACTTTTTAAAGGTCAAAGGTTATGCGCTGAGTCTAAATAAATATGGTTGTGTGGAATCACTCCGTTAAAGATCAACATTGGGTAAACGATTCTGTTCAAGGGCAGTGAAACCAAAAGAGCACATGCTGAATGGACGTTTCTCATCTTTCGATCTCTTACCATAGCACATTATTATTTATCAACCCAAAATAATAGTGTACGGCTAGTATTAAATGATTACTCCTGTCGGGATTTGTATGTTACAGTGCTCCTGAAAACAACGAGTATGGCGGCCCGTTCGGCACTGCCCAAAACAGCCTCTTGGAAAGTTCCACATGTTAATACAGGTGAGGTTTATTTTCGCAGAACTAATGAAACGCTTTCCAAATACAAGAAAAACACGAGTATGTTGGACAAAGGTATCGATCGTTTCTCTTACAGTTCACATCGATGATCCAAGGATAAAACAACCCCTCTCATTCCAAAGACTAAACCTGCCCCGAAAGAATGCTTTAACAGGTACTTTTATCTAAACAATATTATTTAGCCGTGACATACATATTTAACTATAAAGCTAATTCATCTGTGGAAGAAGTATCCTGCTCAACACTGCAGCACCTGTGTTTCTAATTTGGTAATTCGAACCTGTTTATCCATTTCCATCAAGAGGTGCAAATTTAACCTCGAAAACAGAACTTCCAACAGAAAACCCACATGGTTAAGAAGGAACATGCAAATTTCACATTCCCAAATGAATGCAAGAGCTTCGGTGGTATATCGTGGAACTAGTCTCTCTATATTAGTGTTGCTAATGAATGTGACAATATGCATTTACTAAAAACGTTCATGATAAAATTACATTTTATATTATTATTTTTCACAGGGGAAGATGATATGACTTCAAGTAACCCTTTTGTAATTCCTTTAAACCTGGATATATTCACACTGAGTGAACAGACTCTTAAAAAACAAGAACAAGTAAGCATATTGTGTTTTACAAGACATTGAAACCTTTCATATTACAACAGTGGGAACTGTACTGCTGCTTAAAAGTACAAATTACACACTTTGGCTTTTGGATGGGTATATTAATTGATTTGATTATTTTTACACAGTTAGCAGATATGTTTAAATTGTACATACAGGGTCAGCCATTGGAAAATGAATACTGTTGTGGGAACAACAGGACACAGTCAGTTTTATTGAGCCTCAATACGTACAGTAACACGTGCTGGGTCTGCTCCACTGAACAGATACACTGCAAGGGGTTCCCAACTCTTACAAAGGATCGGAAAGAAGTTTGCTTCACGATCTCAGTGCTTGTCCCTTTGAAATGTAATTACGTCTTGTCTGTTCCTGTGATATGTAACAGGGTTTGTTTTGTCTTGTTGCCCAAGTCTCTTTGAGGACTTTTCCTGTTTTATATGTTGGTGGGTTTTTTGCCCTGTCCTTTGATATGCGACAAAAGTTGGATTTGTTTGTCCAGTTTTTTGCTATGAGCTTGTGTGTGTTATTCATGGGTAAGAAATCAGTTGCCTTAGCTGTTACTTGAAAACCATCCACAGTGGTGTTATGTAGTAATTGTGAGGAGCTGGATATGTGCAATATTTGTATGGCCCACTTCCAACACGGTGAGTTATTCTGCTTTCTTAGGAAAGAAGGATATGGAGACACCTGCCTGTGGATCTGAAAAGCACCTACCTGTCAAGAATAAGGGCGCGTTCAGCTGCAGTCCAGAGTGCAGCTGCGGAGTTTGTGAACGCAAATGAGAAACGTGAAAAACCCCCAGTCCATGCCACATGGGCCACAGTGATCACTAGAGGTATCAGATTGTGAACCTTGTGCACGAACAATGAGTAGGATGCAAGGCAAGCGTCATGTTAACACATCCTTGAAATGTCTGGTGTAAGTTATGATTGAGAAAATCATTTTAAGTGGTTTTGAGTATTTCCAACATTCATTCCAGTTAATATTCTGTTGCCTTATAGGTATACTTTCTGGATTGATACTGATCCTAGTATTAGCATTATGGAAAAAATCAGTATTGGACAACGGTAAATTGGAAAGAATAAGCAATGGATGTGTACGTACTCGGAATTTACTCTACTGCAAAATAAGGCATCATCTTAAATCATGGATATCAGCTAAAACCTATTTAAGAGTGTTTTTGCATTTAATTTTGTTGGCGCGACGCTAATACATATTTAAGACACTCTTGTGTGTATTTATGAATTGAACCCAAGTTTATTTCGTATGCTTTTACTATGTACTTGTTTCAATGTTGTAAGTTAAAGCTGACTGAAAGTTTTCAAACTGTGTTACACGTGGCTTAGGGGAGTATTTTAACCTCTTCTGAGGTGCTCACGGATGATTTTGTACTTTTTGTTAAACCAGCAAACGGCTTTCTAATCAGGCTGACTAGTGCCACCTGTTGACAATCACGAGAACTGCAATCGGCTGCACAGGGGGAAAAAAAACATTTTTAACATGGTGGGAAATAAACTGTAGTAATTTGTGGAATAAATGCCACCTTTATAAGAATACTGTTTCCTTCAAAGATGCGTTGAAAAAACGCGTTATTTGTACTATCAACACGTAGGTCGCCATCGTGAAAAAGAGAGCAGAAGGGACTACATGGAAAAGCAACGAGAAATGTTTCTCGTTCAGGTATTATTATTGTTGTTGTTGTTGTTGAAATTCATTTATATATTATTGTGGGGAGTTTTTAAAATGTATTAATGTATATTTAATAAGTATCAAAACTAAAATATAAGTCGTTCTAAATAGTCTTATCGTTTCTAATTGGGAAAAAAACTACACACTGTATTTACCCACATATCCAAAGTCTTTGTTTTATTTATTTTTATTATGATACGTTTATGGACAGCACAATATGAAGACGAATATGGATATGAAAGTTATGAAGGTGCAAAGTTAGGTTACTTTACTTAGATAATCCGATAACTTTTTTAACAGTATGCGCTGTCAGTGAAGAAAGACGCTATGAAGAGGATGGAGGAGGATTCGGCGAAGGAAGAGCAAAGATTAAGACTCGCCGAGAAGCAGTTAGAGGAAGACGCTATTGCTTTTGATAGATTCATAAAGGAAAATGATCAGAATTCAGTGGAAGCTGTCAAAATGTATGTATAATGATGATACTTTTTGTAAGAATTTCTCGTTTCCTCGTTTTTTTAACCTAAACCGCTTTCTGTTTTAGCGCAGAGAACGAAACTATGATTAAGATGGAAAAGACTTCCAAAATAAAGAAGGCAACAGCTAAAATGATGACGATTAAGAGGTATGTGTTTAGCTGGGTGCTATCCCTTACCGTAGATCAGTTTGTGTTTCGTTACATCTTTTCCAGTCTAAGTTTATAAATGTTATTTTAAAAAAATAAGACTCTACATTTCTTAAATGGCCAAGATAAAAGTAAAATATTTTTAAAACAGACATCCTTCGAGCCGGAATCGAACCAGCGACCTAAGGATTGCTACTCGGAAATGTTCCCCTACAGTCCTCCGCTCTACCAGCTGAGCTATCGAAGGATCACTGAATTCTCAGCTCCTCAACACTTCATTTATACTTGTCACTACTGCCTCATAGTTTTTGCTTCTTAGATTCGATCCCTGCCCAGGACGTCAACCACATGGAGCTGGTGTAAATTCCCCAGATTATTACCTACAATCATACCACATACTGCCAATGTAAAGTAGCGTCTCTCTGTGGGTCTCTGTTCATTCTTGGAGCCGTGGCCAATTAAAGCGCGCATCGCTACCAAGAATTTACCAAGGATTGTCCAATCGGAGTGTCTTTTCTCATCCTTGGTAATTGTAACCCAATCAGAATATGTGTTGTAATTCTTGGTCAATTTCGACCAATCACAGCTCTTCCTGCAACCAGGAGTCTGGCTGGGGTTTTAGCCAATCACGTTAGTTGCTACGATTGAAAAGCAGTAAACTGGGTATGGTCTTGTGTTTAATACGATGCTTACTATTCTAGGGTGAGACCAATGGTAAAATTTGGTTCACAGCTCAGTAATAAAAAAAGTTTTCAATTGCACTGAACCCAGAGTAACAACTGCTGCCTTCGAGAGTGGACTAAATTACTAAGAAATTTACAGTCGTGCCTTACTAAGCGGAACACCTCATAGATAACTTGTAATTTAACGTTTCTTCATTTATTTTCATTATTTCTCTACTCATTGGTTTGCTACAGTAGCTCAGCTGCGCATATTTCATAATTAAGAGCCACATAAGTGACGAAAATGAATCAAAATGACCCCACGTGCACTCTTCATCATTTCTCTGTTTCAAGCTCTGGAAGCACCGCTGATAATTATTATATGCAAATATGGACCCACCAGCCTAATTACTTGATATTTCAAAATAAACAGCTCTTTTCCAAGACTCTTCTCTCCCAATCGATAGTTGTACCAAATCCTTTAGCTATAGAATCTTTTTTTTTGAATAGTCATCATTACCAAATCAAATATAGATTTTCCATGAGGCTAATGAATTCATGTTTTGTGATTTGTTTTTTCAAACTGAACAGCATTTCTATCGGTTCATACATTTAGTATGAAATCATGATGGCTATTAGTACCTGCTAATTATATCCTCATTAATAATATCATGAAAGTTAAAGGTTCAAGTTTTACAACTTTTCTGACTTGTCCAGTTTTAATTGAATGGTGCAAATCAAACTTAATATTCATTTTAAACAAATATTGCAAAAAATGTATTACCAAACATGAACTTTTGGAAACTGGGCAGTTTCCAGACCAAGGGAAAGTAACAATGCCTGGGCTTTCTTACAGTGACATATCAAAGAATGAGGAAATTCTGAGTGAGTATTTGCTTTATAAGAAGTTTTTGACCGACGTGGCTCCCCCAGAGTGGAGAGCCGAACAGGTCAGAAAGAGAGAACTCAGAAGACTGGCTCGAAAAAAGGAAGAAGGCAAGACCAGGAGCAAGAAGGTGTTTTTTCAACCTTCACCACCGAAAGGTAGGCCGGCACGCTGAACAGTATTTTAGGAAAAAAACATCCATCCATATTCTAAACACTTGCAGAGGAGACAGAGCCTGTCCTGGCATGCAGTAGGCACAAGGCTGGAAACAACTGGATGGCACACCACTCATTCACAGGCCACACACAGACACACACTCACACCAGGGCCGGTTTTCCCAGAAGCCAATTAACCTACCAGTACGTCCTTGGAATGTGGGAGGAAACCCATTGCGAACACGGGGAGAACATGCAAACTCCACGCAGACAGTACCCCAGGTCTGGAATTAAAACACAGAACTCCAGCCCTGCGAGACATTACTAACCACAGCACCAGCATTTTTTGCTTTTCAAAACAGGTAATTGGTAAGTTTCAGAAACCACAAGTAATCTGGGCTGCTTGAAACATTGAAGTGCAAACTGGATCAAGTGCACCAGTTTGGATGCTGTGATTACAAAGCTCAGTTGCCTGCCCAGCTCTTCCAAACAGAAGATTCATCATCTGTTCCATAGACTGTCTGGTTCGATAATGTCTTCAATTTGGTTTTCATGAAGGAGAAGGGAAGCCACCCCCTGCTTTCTCCAGAAGAGAGTCAAAAGTTGGTAAAGTTTTAACGCAGAGGCGTCTCAGCAGAACCTTGGAGAAAAGGTCAGCAACAAGACCACTCTTTCACTTTTTAAATAATTGAGGTATATTGATATTTGTCCTCAGAGGCATAATTGTTATTTTTCAATATGCAATAGAAAAGGTCAAATGTTTAAGACATTTATGTTCTGTTACTTTGATATTGTTCCTAAATGGCACAAAGATAAAGGATCCCTTGAGTTCAAATACCAGTTGACAGTAGATGTGCTAGTGTAAGTATGAATATCACTGTTTTGTTCACATTTAGAGAGAGTGATCTGTGGCTGTGCTGTGCATTCTTGCATACTCTTCCTATGGTCATTGACCTTATATAACGTCCTATTTTAGTACGAAACCTGCATTGGATAACTTAACTGATACCAAGGAATCTGTCAAGGAAGATATTTGTGATGATGACGAGGTAAGCGTGCAGAAATAATTCAATATAACAGCTATTTAGAAAGACTGAATATCTGAATATGTTGATTTGTCTTTCATAGGAGAATATATATTTTGAATATATGGAAAGAGGTTTCTTGATGATGCAATACAATGGACATGTATAAATAATATACAAAATTAATTCATAATACTAATTTGGGAATTGTCTTTAGTTAGGGCTTTGATAAAACCAAAGATCTTGTGTCCAACTTTCAAGACTGAGACATGGTTTTAAACCGAAATTAGAGAAACAGAATTATTTATTCCTTTCCTCAATTTAGTGTTTTCAAAATAATGTGTACACATGCCTTTTAAATCAAAATAAACACAAATATTTAAAAATGTGGCAATCAAACGAAACCTTCTAAAAAAGGAAAAGGTTAGAAAAATCATAACCATGCCACACTAAAAAAATATAAACATTGAGCATATGCCAGAATTTTTATTTCATATCACGTATTAATTATCACTTTATTTCAAGGAGAAACATTAATTCAGCTTACAATTTATTTTCAATTCAATAAATAAATTACAAGTGCCATAGCTCGACACTTTCATCTTTACATTATCAGGGTTGACAGTGGCTACTAAGTAGTTTTCGTTTTGTCTTTGCAATGAAAGGAGGCTGAGATCTATTTCACAGATCCAAAACAGATGCTGCACATTTTATCAGAACTTGAAGAACAGAATCTGTCCTACATCCAAAACTTTCAAGAAACAGAAGAGGCTATGGATGAAATTCGCAAAAGAGTAAAGTTGACACAGGATAAAATGTATGGGTGAAGTATTATTAACCTAGTGTATAAAAAATAATTTATATTAGTTTTAGTACTTTTGGTTATTTGAAGAATTTGGTCCTAAAAGTTATTTTTGTCCCATTTGATAGTGAAGTTAATATCTTATTACCTTTATGTTCTCATAGACGTTGGTACACATTAATGATACTTTTTGGCATGGGAATATAATTGTTATCCTTGATTGTTAGCCTTTATATAGACAGCTAAGCAACACTGGTAAAATTTCACTACTGAAAACTGTGATAACGGCTATTGCTTGATAAAATTGAAAAAAAACTGACAGCTTTGTTTTTGAACCTTTTAAAGGGAGCATGAGACAAACATTTTGACACAGCAGATCGAGATGTTAAAAGCAGCCATCCAGAGAGAAGAAGAGAAAACTTCTGAACTGGAGCTGAAGTCAAGGATATTTTCCTTTGGAGAATTTAATGCAGAAAAACAGGTTGATTGTATCCTATATTCTAGAAAACCACATCTGGAAAACTAACTTTATAATGATTTAGTTTCATGTACTGTAAGTGAAATAATTTCTACATCTGAAGGTTTTTTTTTTGTACAAATCATACCCTTTTAGGACAGAATGCTCAGCTTGCTAAACAAACAAGTAAATGAAGTTTATCAAACCTGCATTGGAGATGTCGGAGCTAATATCAGCACTTTGCAAATGCTGACGAACATAGAGAATAAAATGGAGGAAGTGATTGAGTGTCTGGAAACACTGCCACGAGAAAAAGTGGAAGTCGTCGAAGCCAACAGGGAGAAGGAAATGCGAATAAGGTGAAACATAGATATACAATTTGTCTGGTAATAATATACACAAGGAGGTTGTAGACCAAGAAATGTTAGAATTCAGGAGGTATTAATACCTGTAAAAGTCAACAGAAGTGTAAGTCAAGTTAAAGGCTCTGGGTTCCATGTAGATCCAGACTCTCTGTATTGAGGGTGCAGGCTTAGTCACTACCTAACCAGAGTCAGAGGTATTTTTATCATACACAGCCTCTTGAAAAATGGTCCAGGTCTAACACCTGAGTTAAAGGGAACTATTCTTTCCTGCAGATGGGCTAAAATTAATTAAAACTGTTCAGAGGGAACGAGAGAATAACAAGAGAAAAAAAATAGTTGATGTCATGTAAAATTCAGGAATAAATTTCTTAACCACTAATCATCATTAATCACTGTATTAATCGCATAACCAGCCACAAACAGCCTACCTTACTGTATGTTGTCTGAAACTCTTACAGCTGTGTTGTGATCTGTCAAAAAAACCTGTTACTTAAATCCATAATGTAGGATCAACAAATTAACATGTTGTCGGAATGGAGAATTCCGCTCAGCGACGTCCTTCTCGACAGCAGGGGAGCGAGCAGCAGGCTCCAGGGGTTTTAACCCAGCTCTTGTCCTCACTGCAGGCTGCGTGAAGAGAAGCTCCTCCTGAAGAAGAAGCACCAGGAGGAGAGACTGAGGCTGGCAGTGGAGAGGGCGAACGCCGACACAAGGAAAAGGGTTGGTATCCAAATGTTGATCCTCCGACGTTTTCAGTGTTCTGTGAGAAAAAGCTCTCCTGCAATCGAGAAAGTCTTGAGAAAGATTCCTGCTTTCCACAAGCCAAAGCTGCAGGGCCCATCCAGAAGGGAAACGTTTCACCCACACGTTCATGTGTAAAAAGCAACACGCCCCTCACACAGTGGAACTGCTGACAACACTTAAACTGGGTCTCTTCACCTGAATTTCAGCTTTTAATTTCTTTTTATAAATGGTAGAATAACCGCAACGCTCTTTTAACATTTTGGGGGTTAGAAAGAATTGGTGTTGTTGAGTGCATTTCAAATCACAATAAAAGTAAAATGTACAGTAACTTGAAGAACCTCCAATTTATATCACAAAATAGACACTTTTGCAGCTTCATATATTGCGATTCAGAACGAGGCAACAAAACTTCAGGTGACGTGTTGTGGCCCTACTACATTGTAAATAAGCAGGCCTGTGAATACATGTCTTTTAATCCAATAGAAGTATTTCTCTCAACTTTAAAACGGTTTTGCTTACAAACTACATGTCAATTCTGCATGCAGATCACTTTGGAACATTTTCTCCTGCAGAACCTGTACTTATTCACTCGTACATCAAATTACTCATGACAATGACTGGCGAGCAGGAAGGGCCGCTTCAGATTACAATTTGTAGGAACGCAAATGGGACTTTTCTACAACAGTTCACAATTTTGTGCTTAATTCAAAATTCATATATTTTTTTCCATACTGTTTTTCCAATTAAAAAAATATATTTTTACCAAGATTTTATAACCAGTCTGAGAAATTGGGACTGCAGTTCCCCTTTAATGATTATACAATCCAATCGAAATGAGTGAAGATGTAGGCATTCTTACCGAGAATGATTTCAAGATGGTCCACCGGGCTAAAAAGGGTGAGAGCCCCTCAAGGATAATGCATTACAAAACTGAAACATACCCCATACACACTCAGATGAAATTACTATACTTTTTTCCCTTAGACCGGCAGAAAACTGATGATGCGCTCAGAGCCACCAGCAGTCATAAAAAAGGACAAAAGGCCTGTGACCAGTTCCAAAGAACATGACGAAATGCTGTATTTTTTTAAATGAAAAGAATTTGGTTGATACACACTTCAAGGTAACCTTTTCATATCAAAACAAATGTATTTCAATATAGTGGTCTTGATATCATAACAGGAATGCTGTTAACGTCTTCTTTATAAAATGTTTGCATTTACAAAAACGTATCACACATTTTCAGTAACTGGTGTTGCAGAACTATGTTTGAGAAAACCCCTTAACTGACTTAAGGTATTAAGTATGAAAATATAAAAAGGACATGGGGAGAAGTGATGGGGAAAAAAGCAGGCCATTAATTGGAAAAAACCTTTTCCCCCTTAAATGTTAAACTACTAACAATTCTTAACAGATCTTGCTATTAGAAATGCTGGACAAAGGCAGAAAGTCACAGAATTAAAACCTTTGGATTACCTTTGTCTAAAATCAGACAATTCATCAAACATCAGACATAAGGCCTGATGTTAAGATTGTCAAGGATAACCCAATGTTTTAATATGATTGGCAGAATTAAGACTAAAATACTTCTCCACATTGCTCAATCCAATTTTATCCTTTTTGGGACACCTACAAATTAACTCCATCAGTGATATACATGCCTTTGTAACAGGATTATTAATGTCGCAGATATCTTCACTTAGCAGGGCAAAAACTAATTTGCATAAATGATCCTCCTCAATTCCCATCCAGAAAACACTCTAACCATTCCTTGTGGTTCATTAAAAAATACTCAATCACAAATTCTAAGAAAGTGCAATATGCACAATTTTATTACATCAGTGCTGCTCCTGAAGCACAATGTCAGACAACCACGTTAAGTTTTCGATACATAAACAAAAACAGCTTTTTCTTCTTTGGTAGGAAATTACAGGCTCCATTTCAAGCTTCCTGCCTACCAAAGAATCTATCACAGATCACAGGCTTTTTATATGGCGTAAAAAAAGTGACATTTCTAATTACTATGTAAAAATCAGTGACCCAGAATCAAGAATTTCTTCACAATGTTTTATTCTCTCATTTCTCCATCTTCTTCTTCTTCCTCAACACCTCTGATGTATAGGACATTATTGCACCTGTACAAGACAAGAACATTTCTGCTCATCAGGAAATCCACAAAGGTCACAAATTCCCCAACTACTCCAATACAAAATCGATGCATTGTAACGTATTCTGACATGCTTTAGCCGATTATAATACAGCAGACACAGAATTCACTGAAATCTTCCTTCCTTGAATCAAAACAAAGAAGAGTGGTACATGTTGTTAAATGGCATGACAACACATTTAGGATCAAACAATTAGTGTGATTCCATAGCCAATTCTTTAATTCTCAACTACAATTATTTTGGAAGACTTACTATACACCATGAAATTCAAAAGACATGCATTATCAATTTAATTTGATTTCATCATCATCATGCTTCAATGATTTTAACAATATCCAGTCAAATAAAGCTTTATTTAACCACATACGTCAACTCAAAAAATTTTAAGTTAACTTTTTTTTTAAGTTAAAAACTAGCACTCTTGTGCTCTGCTTAGTTGCCTACCTCACAAGCACTTCTCCTAAATGACCGGCCAGTGCTCCGTCAACATACTCTTCAGTGTTGGCAAGCTGTGAAAAGAAATAGGAGCACAAACATGACTTATCAATCTCTACAAATGAGTTTCCTACAAAGTTTTACAAAGTAAAATTTACAGGATAGACAAAAGTAATGTGTAAAACTCACTACACCCAGAACACATACTGTATAAAGGATAATTAAGGATCACATATAATCATTCAACATGGTCATTTGTTCCCCCCCAATCTAAATGAGAAAAGTAACCATAAGGACAAACTCAACCCTGTGCTTTCGATCATCAGTTTCATTGGCATGAATGTTTAAGAAACTCTTCAGTGTTGGTCTGCCAAAAATGTAATCAAATGTAAAAAATGAAATCCTAATACCCATCATAGACATGTGAGCAGCCATGTTCCACCACGCATCCATGTTTACATACCTGCATATTCATGTACCCATCGACTGAGACCAAATATCCTTTGTACTCCATCCCCCACTTGAGCCTCACCATCACTGGTTTGCCTGTCAGGCCATTGAGGAAGGGCTTGGGGTTCAGAGGCAAACTCTGCAAAGACAGCAAGCACCATTAACCCTTACCAAGTGAAGGGAGATAAAACAAATATACCCTTTTCTCACAGACAATTGGACAACATCTTGCCTATGTCTTAAAAAAATACAGCTACAAAAAAAAGTAAACGAAGTATCCAGTGAATGATAATGAAACTGTATGTACGCCCTCACAAAAGACAAATTAGCCTTTTCAGACATGTCGTTGTGGCCTGAATTTTCAGTGAACAAAAAACAATAAATGCAATATTTATATCTATTCAATATTCTGTTATTGTTAAATGACAAGTTGTGCGTGCACTGCAATATTAGGTATAGAAAAATCAGTTTAACATTTTTTCAAGGATAATGAGTAAGATACATTTCTAGAATTATTATTCCAATACAATGACTCAGGAGTTCAAAAATGATTTATGTGTGGTGAAACTGTGGTGAAACAGCATGAACTGAAAAAACTGAAGGTTTTTCATTCACACTGAGTTTTCCCCCAATTTTTTAGTGGCACACAATTCACATCAGGTTCTGGGGGAGATGAATTCTGGTCAGTGTCCATCTCGATTCTGCAGTCTAATGTCTTTTGGCATTACTCTGCAGTCCAGCCTGACCAGAAATCCAGATTCAGAGATGTTTTGGCTAGTCAGACTGTCAAATCCCAACAAGGTCATTAGAGAGCACAACCTGCTGTGAGTGAGGGACGAGGGATGGACAGTATTACATGCATTTCCTCCACATGATAGCCTGTCCTGGTCTACCTGGGTGATGTTATAATAATAAATCTTTAAGAACACAAGTCAATTGAGAATGAATCCTCCTGCGCACTGGCGACTCGAACCTAACCCATTTATAGGTTAGGACCGCTTTTGGAATAATCTGAGTGAAATAACTTGCTTTAAAGTACAACAACAGCCACACTTAATAATTGAATCCCAGGACCTGGTCTGGAGTCAGAAGCCTAAACCATTACTACAACTCCACACATACATAACTATTTAATTGCACAAGAAAATAGACATTCTGATTAGATTAAAAGCATCCTTCAACCATCCTTAACAATATACTCTGGATTTGGGCGGTCGTACTTGTTTTAAAAAAGTTCCACGCTTCCTGAACTTTCTCCTATTAAGAATTGCACGAAGACTGTATTTTCACGTCTTGTCTTCTGCCCGGAATACTCGGAAGATCATCTATTCTGTTTCTCAATTTTGTTAAACTCGACATAGTGAATTCCAGTACCTTCACTGCCTAAACATATCGTACATCTTATGCAAAATCAATATCGAAAATGTAGAACTGTCAGAGAACTGATTTCTCAACGCATTTAAAAGTACTTTCTGATCCAGTACCGAGGCCTAGTAATTCATCAGAACAAATGAAAGGAAATATTTATGTAGCCAGCGCTAACATATCAGATTGAAACCATACATCAAGCGCAAACTCGCACATCACAATTAAAATCGAGATCTCTCAAACACACTCACCATTTTTATCGTTCAATAATAAAACCTTTGTCTTGTTAGTCTCATACAAAACACCGCACGCCGCACCGTCCAAAGTAGGAAGTACTTCCTTACCCCGACCTCTCACCTTTGAACCCGAGGGGGAAGTGTACTTTTATTGGATACATTCTAGACCTTTTAATTTGATTGGCTACGGGGTGTATTGCGCTTCTCAGTGCGGGAAAATAGCTGTGTGAAGAGGTTGATATATGAACAGTATTATGGTTGTCTCCAATAATGTTTTAGAAATGCACGATGGTATCCATGATCATTGTCTAACTTACATTAATGTTAATTAACATGCAAGCATTGTGGTCCTAGAAGGCCGCACGGTACAATTATTGAGGTTAAACAAGTGCGTAAACGAGGTATCATGCTTACATCAAATATGTAATATATTGTCTCATGCCCGAACGCTGACTGCATATGCTGCTTCCCATTATCAGGAGTAAAACGTCCGTCCCGAAATCTTAGAGCCGCATCCCCGCAATATACACCACGACTGTAATATTGTAGCAAGCGGGTTTGCTAGAGCAGCAACCATAGACCGTCACTACCGACAGAAACCTCGGCGAAACGGAAAAAAGACTGTACCGCCGGTCTAAATTGAGTGATATGAAACGCATCATACAAATATGTGTTATATACGTATGACAGAAGAGAACAGATATTGTAGATATTGTAATTGACGATTGGGGTACTTCGTGGTTAAGCTCTGTGTCGTTGGTAACAATTGGCTGGCAGCAAATAAGGGAACTTCCTGTGAGAACCCACTGAGCGTTTCGAAAACAAGTTCGAAACATAAAGAATCAAATTGGATTATATTTGTTATTTTAATGTAAAAATAAATTTCTGTAACTCTGATTCAACGGCTCATCCCAATGAGGGCACCTCCATAGCGCCCTCTATCCCCATAGAGTACTGAAGGGAATTGCTTTAGAAGTTTTGGTCGAAATAGAAGAGTTGCCGCGTAATGTATTAATCCGGGGTTCACGTGGGTATGCGCCCTCGCCGCTGCCGCCTCAGGTCGGCCCCCCACCAGGAGGGTCCTGGCCTGGCCGGAGAGCCTGCCCCGATGGAGGTCCTTGGCCCACACGGAGAGGCTAGAGGAGGAGCCCACGGAGCAGCCTGGAGGGGCGGTTTGGAGTCGGCGGGACACTCGACTCTTCAGCTGGGGGCAATGTAGCGCCACGCAGGGCGCTTTAGCCATGTGCACGCAAGGTGGGTGTGTTAGTGAAGGTGCAGCGCTGTAACCCCTGTCCCTGTGTGTGTACCTTTCCCCGGTTTGAGTTAATAAATGTGTTGTTCAACCCCATTCCCCGAGTCCCATGCCTGCTCCATTCCTTGCCGAACCCGAATCCATTACAATATATGTTTCATTAGAATTATATTTGGTAATTATGGCCATGCACATGCTTTGCTTGAATATTGTGACCGGATATTTTATGTCGACCTTATGACTACAGCCTTCTTTCATTTTGTAATGTATATTCAGACTACGAGAGGGACAGTAAAAGATGCAGAAAGTTACAGAAACATAAAAGCTTTTACTAAAAAGTAAAACAACGCCAAACCAAAAGTCCCCAAAAAGCTTGTTGTCTAAAAAGTATAATATAAGTTGTATTAGAAATTTACTTTCGAAATTTAATTTTCTTTAGGAAATGTTTGTGCTCTAGAAAAAAAGTCTAAGGATTAATTAATACTATAAAATGTTTTTTTTTCAAGAATCTTCTATTTTATGTCATATTAAGACAAAATATTCTGTCTTTTTACAACAATTTGTATAAAATTAGACGTATTTGTTGCTTGGCTTTAAAAACACGTTTTTTAATGGGGGATTCGGGTTTAATTAGAACTGTCAAAATAATCCCAAACTTGCTGCTATCATAAATTACACAATGATCTCGTCCTCTCCCCAAAACATTCTTGTTCTTTCTTGCTTCTCTGTTTTTTTTCTAATTTCTCGTTTAGCAGCACAGTTAAATATAAATTTATTACCTATATTGGATGTTTTTAGAACACTTGCTTTAATTTCACAATGCTGTTTTGAAACCGTTTTCACTTTGACAACGGTTGTGGTGTAAATATTTTTAGAACATATCACAGAATGCCTTTATTCGAAAGATCAAATAAAGCGACTATTACATTTTTAGGTGTGAAATTTAAATATTCTCAATAATTAGTCATGACCACTTTAAGGTTATCCGTAAATGAGAAGTAGCCATAAAATATTATTCACTGGCTAACCCTCGGGGGTCGAGGATAATTGTCTTCAATGAACGATAAAGCCTTTGCTGGCCGGCCGAGCAGGATGTCTCGGGAGATAATCAGGGCACGTATCGCGCATAATCATGAGGATAGAAAACATCGTCTGTAATGAATAAAGTGTAGATGCTTTCAGTAAGTGACCAGATGGTGGCACTATCTACTAGCCTTCACACTTTGTAGCTCTGCTCATCCAAAGAGTTGAATTAACGACGTGTTCTTCTGGAGAACCTCCACGTTTCCACTGGTTTTACAGGAGCGTTTCAGTTACCAACTGATTAAAACCCTAAAAGCAGGCGATTCAACTTCTTATCCGAAGAATTATTTAGTTAAAATCCGTGATGGAATTAAAACCACATGGCTCTATGTCCAAGGACTGAAGCTGTCAGTCTAGAAAGTCAAGAATAATATCGGCTGTATAACCCAAGAGCTCACCCAACTGTTTCTTGAAGAATCTCAAGGTACTGACTTCAAGAACATGAACTGCCAGCTTTGTGCAAGGAGTTGCCCCCAGTTCTCCGTGCTAAAACACACTTCTGCATAACTTTAAAATGTTCCTTAGGGTCAGAGTTGCGGTGCTGAGCATAAAGTAATTATATTAGGCTCACCCTGCCCATACCTTTGAAGATTTTTAATGGTGATGTGCAGTTCTCTAATCATTTCTGTTAATCACTGTTCAAGACTGAAGAGAAAAGTTACAGCTCAAAATCATTTTTCTGCTGTGGTAAGAAATGTTTCCCTTGTGATAGACTGGCATCCTGTCCAGGGTGTATCCCACCCAGACTGGCATCCTGTCCAGCTGTATCCCACCTTGCGCCTGTTGCTTGCCAGGATCAGCTCCGGCTCCCCCACAACCCTAAAATGGATACAGCTGTTCGAAAATGGATGGTGGATAAAAAAATATTTTTTTTATCCATCCATTATTTATTCACACACCTGAAGAAGGCTCCATGGCTGAAACATTGTGTTTTCTTTCTTCTCTTTTCAGCATATAATAAACCTATTGCTTGTTCCTAAAAAAAAAATATTTTACTCCAGGTAGGTTAATTGAGTTCATGTGCACTATATAAAGCAGGAAATTCAAATGTAACACGAACCCCATCAGAGATGTATGTTTTTGGCCCCTACCCCCACAGTACAGCTCTGAAATTTGTCTGTAAAAATATTTATCAACCAACTGTACATCTGGAGATTTTCTTACAGACATTACTTTTCTTATTAGAGGAAATGGCACATGAGAACAGATGCTACAACTCAGCTAACTACCTCCTTGATAAGTAAGGAAAGCATCTATGTAAAAAATGCACTGTGACGAAAAAGAATGGTACCTCTCTGGCGTCCGTAGCAAAAAAAACAGCTTCGTTTGGCTGTAGTCTAAAGTTTATATAAATCTAACAGGGTATAAAAGGAGCACTCATTTTTTCTCAGATGATAAGTTTTACGCAGTCTTATAAGGAAGGATGAATAGGTTTAGTTAGACTATCATCATCAGTAAGATTTCCAGGCACATCTGGCAGAGCCAGAGGAACTGTAACTACTGTAGACACGGACCTGATTTTAGCCACCCAGTTTGGAACAGCCAATTCCATCTTTGCTCACACAGGCTCTTCCAGCCTGCCCACGCATTACACCATTCATCTTTGAGCACGCTGCAGTGAGGAGCAGGAGGCCCAGTGCTCATGGGAGGAATGGCTGGCCTTGATGATGTCAGAGAGCTGGCAGACCTCAGTGTCACGGGAGCCGGGCCAGACTCCCGTGAAATGCGTTGTTAAAGACCCTATGCGTGACGGAATACTCCGGAGTTCATTGATCCAAGGGTGTCACCCAGCTGTTTCTTGAAACAAGCCAGGGTTTCAGCTTTAACAGCATGACTGGTTAGCTTGTTCCAGTCTCCCACAGCTCTTTGGGTAAAGACGTGCCTCCTGTTCTACCTTTTAAGTGCACTTTTTCTTGTTTTCCATGTGTGCCCTCCACCTCGCATTTAATCGTTCATCGTTCGCTATGGCCGACAAGGAAGGGCAAAAGACAAAGCTGTCAAAGACAGAGGCACAGAGGAATCTGTGAGGAGACGCTGCGGCCTGCGTGAAAATGTATTCCTTCTGGAAAAAGAGGTCGGTGGAGCTGGTACCAGAGAAGTGTGGTAACAAGATTGTGGCGGAAGATTGTGTGAAATATTCTGTCTGGTCGGGTGCAGCCTCCTGTTCAGTTCCAATGAAGGGCATGATTCTGCTTGTGCGTGTCTGGCACTGGCAGACTGGCAGCTGGCAGACTGGCAGCTGGCATGCGAAGTAGCAGTTTCCTCATGTTCCAGTATAACGCACGGGCAGCCTCCCTACTATGGGAGCCAGTGAACCATAGTGAGGTGATCGTGGAGTAATAATTTAAGTGGGTGTGGAGAGTTCAGTGTCCTACATATCTCCCTGCTTAGCTCAGCAAAGAGTGGGATTGAACGGGAAATATTTGGTCAAATTATAGAAAAAATAATAATTAAACAGCCCACAAATATTGAATCAGCTGGTCTTGTAGCACATTGCTGCATCCTGATTTATTATCAGAAAGGAATCTTGAAACCCAGGATTTTTTTTAGAACTTGTGTCAAGGTATTTTTCCAGTATGTTACTCATTAAGCTCATGGGTTGTTTCATTTGTTTTCAGTAAAACGGGCTTTCCTATTTGTTATTTTTACCTACATGATTTAAGGGGGTCCAGTTAAATTTGATAACTCACTGTCAGATACTTTCAGAGAAATCATGATAGAAATGCTCAAAACAGCTCAAATGTAATATTTTAAATAACTCTGGTTGAAGCTGAAAAAACAGACAACCA